TTCTCCTCTTCATTTCCCTTTCCCTTCCGCTTTCCCGTTGTGCTTATTTTGGCATTTTCTAGTTTTTTTTTTTGTTTTTCTTCTTCCGTATTTCTCTATTTTTCTTTGCTTTACATGAAAGGACGACTGGTTAAAAAAAAAAAAAAAAAACGAAAGGACGACCGGTGTATGAGCACAGCCTGTACAGTAGATATTCAATTTTCAAATGCAGTGGGCCTCGCTCCACTAGTCAACGTTCTACATACATTTGGCCGTTTCTGGACCACGTGCATTCGGACGAGTCCAACATTTTGAATGTATGCGGACGATTACGAGCTCCAGATACATATAGAGTGTCGTGTAGTGGAGCGAGGCCAAGCATCTGGTAGGGGATACACGTGCACAGCTAGCCGAAAAGGAAAGCAAAACGGAATGGAAACGGTGATTTTTTATTTTACTTTTTTCATGTGTGTGACGGTCACAAAAACGAGAATTCAATGAAGAGCAAAGGGGAGAGAGACGTTCCCTGACTTTCTGCCAATGGGAGGAGGGAGAGAAGGGGGAGCAAGGAGGGGTTGGAGGGGGAGCATGGGAAGGAGAGGATGTGTAAAGGATATCAGTACGGCTCCAACGCCACTCATCCACGTTTTCCCAATCCCGAGGGAGAGAGAGAGAGAGAGAGGAGAGCGAGGGAGCGAGAAAGAGAGGGAGAGAGAAAGAGAGGGAGACAGGGAGAGGGAGAGAGAGAGAGAGAGAGAGAGAGAGAGAGAGAGAGAGAGAGAGAGAGAGAGAGAGAGAAGTCCATGACCATGTAATTAACCGAATCGGTTAAGCATGGATTCCCCACCATCGCCTCGTTCCTTTTCCATATGCTAATCTTCTCTGTATCGTTCCAATTTTAACGGAAGCTCCGCTGACGAACCCTTGGTCCCTTCCCGACTTGCTTTCCTTCTGATGGATTAACTCGATTCGAGATCCCGTCTAGCGTTCGATATCCGGTTCAGTTCACAATCCCGGTCGCAGTAAAGTGTCTTCTGGATAATGTCGATCCCAAAAAAAAAAAAAAAAAAAAAAAATGTTCGATCGATATGGCACCTGATCAACTCAACTACGGACTTCGGTGCTCAGTCGGTATCGGCCTAGACGTCCGATTCACAAGGGAATGAGGATTGCCACCCAAAAAAAAAAGCAGAAATATTCGAATGTGAAAAAGAAAAAAAAGAAAAAGAGCTCCTTCTGTATAGTAAGTCGCATGACAAGCAAGCGCTTCTCTCCACTCAAAAATTTATCTACATCGGGCTTTTAGACCGCCTATTGACAGTCGCCATCCCGATCACCTTTTGGTCGATCCATCCACAGTCCCGATCCTGTTCACCTTCTGTTCGATCAATTCAATGTCCCGATCCCGGGCAAGAATCTTTGGTCCGATCGATTCACAGTCGCGACCCCTGTCAAGAATTTTCTGTTCCCAGTCAAGAATCTTCCGTTCATACAGTCCCGATACAGATCAAGTACCTTCGGTTCAACGACTCGAGTATGGACTTGTGATACTCGGGTTTAGTCCAATCATGACGCTGGCTAAACTAAAGAGGTGAGCGGGGGGGGAGGGGGGGGGGAAAGGAAGGGGAACAATAAAGGGCTAACATTGCCTATATTTCCACTCAAAGATCTACCGTAAATAGGCTAACGCTTCTCTTGAAAAACTCGAGGCATCCACTCCTGCGATAGATCGCGATCGGTCGCGATCCGTCCCATCGACGGGCGTCGAATCAGAAGCGGACACGATCATACAATTTCACTTAAAAAATAAAAAAAAAAGGATCCCTGCTGCTCTTCGTAATGTCATTGGATTTGACAACGCAGAATATCAAATCTTCACCAAAAAAAAAAAAAAAAAAAAAAGCCACAAGGGGAGCCTGAGG